GGACTCACTTCAGAACACGCAAACTTCCACCTCCTGCCATTCGCATCCTAACCTGACTCCGCCAGATGGATTTGCTCCACATATCCATCTGGAAACCTTCCGTTGAAGTAATTTTGGGAAGGGGCGAAAATACTGGTTAGCTGATTGCCCTATGTTGGTGATAGACGGGCCAAATAAACCAATCAGATCAACGAAGCATATGATGTACTAACAGAGCAACGACGAAGAGGAGCCAATTGATAGATCAAACTCTTGCCGAAACCAGTCGGGAGAAGAGCAAAAACATCTTTTCCTCTGAGAAAAGCCTCCAGAGCAGTGTTTTGCTCTTCTTTCAGTGAAGAAATATTCTGTAATTCCAATAAAACTTGCTCGATAGCCACGCTAACGCTAGTTTCATCGGCTGAAGCCGCCATGTTCTTTAGACTGAACTGTCGCGCTTCTCGTTGCGTCACACCTCAATCCGCCTCAAAGCCAACGCTGATTGGACGTTCGTTTTGGTGAACGGCTCCAAATTTTCTTCAACGGAGAGTCTCCAGACTGATCTGCAAGTGAAACCTTGAAAGCTCGCGAGATCAGGATGGTCTCACGAGGCTAGTCGCATCCCGTCCTAGACAATCAATAAATGATGGAGTATATTGGCCAAACCATTTACACATTTAATATTTAGGTTTCAACTATAAATGACCCATTGCTGCTCTGTTAACATTCATATCTCATAAATATTTGTGTTGAATCTGTGTATCTTGGCTGAGTTACATAATTTGTCTGTTTGTGTGCATCCTGGAACAAAGAGAGCCTGCCCATGGAGGCAGAACGCAGCCCTAATTTGACTTTAAGATGTTTATCGTGGCAGAGTTTTTGCTACAATTAGTTGGAATGAGGAAGAAAGCTGCTAGGAGGCTGGAAAAAGGTTTTCCCTCCGATAGACTCACGGGGTCCATCGTCAGCTGAGCCAATGTAGAACAGAAACTGAAGGAAGATACTCAAGGTTGGAGCGTTTTGAATCTAATGCAGTTTTATTTTTTGAAAGATGATGTCTTTGGGAGCCGAATCTGGAAATGTGATGCTGTGAAATAATTTGCCATCTCAACTGAGCAGTTTTTCTGGACAGAAGAAAACTTTTAGAAGTAGGTTTTTCAGAGGGAATAAACGGGACTCTGAGCTGTATGGCTGCACGAGTAAGGAAGAGGCATGATGACTAAGGACTGAAACAGACACGAACTCTTCAGAGGGAGGAAGAAAAGAAAAAGCAAGAGGCTCTGAATCCAATCTGACATACAACTGGAGTATAACCCTGCTGTGGATTACAAGGCTGTCATCTTGAGTTTGAAGGAGAGGCGAAAAGGGAGGGAGATCACAGACGGGGCTGTGGGAAGCCGCAGCAAGAGGGCTGCTCTGTCTGTCCGCTTCTCATCATGAAGCTAAAGAAAGTGGAGAGGCTGTGCAGGGAGGTGTGGAGCAGCTGTCAACAGGTTTGATAATACCATCTGATACCTTTCCTTATAGAAAACATTCAAAGAAGCTGCTTTGAAATGAATAGTTTTGAATTTAAGAAGAAAATTGATTCTGGAACCTGGAAAATAAGCCAGACTTTAACAGATAATAGTTGGCCTCACTGGTAAGATTTCTGTTTTTTTCTGCTTTTCCTCCATCCAAATACTCATCTAGCTCTAGATAGAAAACCTTTCTGATCTGCTAGTGACAAACAGCCTTATGAATGAATGAATTAATAGCTGTGTTCAGTCAGAGGGGTTTTCTGTATCTTTTCCGTGAGTCATTAAGTTTGTCATTTATAGTTTTAATCCAAGCAGAGCTCTGTGGTCAGACAGTCCTGAAGCATCTGCACTGAGAGACACTGTCATTGGAGCCAAGTGGTAAAAATGGATACAAAAGTAAAAATGTTGGATAAAAGCCTGTTTTATAAAAGGCAGCAGAGATTCTGTTTGGCTCTGACTGAGCTGGTTGTTCAGAGGAAAGCGGAGAAAAAATTGTTCCCATCCTGATGTTATCAGCCTGCTGCGCTCTCATCCACCCATTTCCGTTTTAAAACCAAACAAATCCCCCCCTGCAGCACTAGCCTCTCTAAAACTGTCACACAGCAGCCATATCTGTGTGTTTACTTTACGGGTAATAATGTTTTCAGAGTTTTTTGTTGCTATTAAGAGTTAATTTAGTAAAATAAAAAAAAAATCCATTTAGGTCTACATTTGAAAAGGTTATAACATTGGGAAAAAAAAGTAAAAATGGTCGTTTAGATGCATCAAAAGTTACAGCAGCCGACTCTGACTTCTGTTCACTTATACTGATGTCATCTTTAAGAAGAGTCTTTCTAAAGGACCCCAGGTTCGTTCGATCCTTCATCAGTTTAAATCCCACTTTTTATCCAGGAATTGCCATTTCCCACTTTTTTTCGTCCATTTTAACTAACGATTGCATTCCAATATCAATGTGAGGGATTTGCACAAACCAGCCAGAGAACCACTGAAATTTTTCAAAAAAAGTCTTAATTTATTCCAAAAGTGTTCAAAAATGATGAACTGGGTCCAAAAAAAAGGTCAACAAAACAGAATTCGATTAAGGATTTAACATAAAGAACTCAAGCACAAACTGACTTAGCAAACAGGACATGAGGGAAACCTAAATAGTGGCTGATCAGACCACTGTTGACACACAAGGGGGGTAACTGACTAACAAACTATTAAACAAATAAACTTAATTAAACAGATAAATACTGGCCAGACACTAAATACTTTTTAAATTTAAATAATTAACAAAATGACCCAAACTAAGAATATTTGAACAAATGATAAACAAATTTCCCTTCCCATTACAAATGGTTTGACCCGCTGATTAGCCTGCAACCAATTGAGGAAAGCTGGAGCTCATTGCAGCCCTCCACCAGCAGATCCCAAGGAAACTGGCAACTCAAAAGAAAAAAGAAATGAATCAATTGCATCTTGAAAAAAAAACAACCTGACAAATAAAGTTAACTGAATGTGTGCACTGCAAAAAGTTAACTTAAAGTCAGGCTAATGAAAATATATGAAACGTGCAACTGATTTTGAAAATGAAAAATGTAAAAGTTACCACACAGCTTCAGAGTGTGACAGTAGGCTGTCACAATCAATAAACCTTTGGCTATCATTTTGTTATTTGTTTAGATACAAAATCCCAAGTAGAAATCTTGCATAGCATAAATCTGATGAGTAGATTATGTTCTTAAGACGTAATTTACACTCAACCACATTTGGTATGAACTGATTAAAACTGCTATTGGATTGGAGAACAAACCACTTCACCAGTTTTGAGGGAAAACACTAAGGACAGAGGATCTGCTATGAAATGGGCTAATAGGCAAGGCATTTATTGGTATAGCACAATTCAGTACATAGACAATGCAAAGTGCTTTACATGATTAAAATATAGGAAAATAAAACTGAATCAAAGCAAGTAGGAAAAGAAAAATATAATAGGCATCAGTGGGGCAGTTGCTTCAGGGTTCTTAATAGGATCTTTCAGCATAGCATGCCATTATTCTCAGATGTGTCTTCGCTACATTGAAATAACATTATGTCTGTTTATTATCCACTAAGAAAGACTGTTACTCTTTCATCTGTTGTACATAGGAAAAAAAAAAAAAGGTAAACGTATTTTTACTTCTAATGTTTTGGATTATTTTTATTGTAAATATTTATTTTCTAACATAATCCAGAGGCAAAAACTAAGCATTGAAGAGATAGTAGAGCTGTAAAGGTTAACAAGCATTTTTTAATTCTTTCATTCACCTGAAAACCATTTCTTCAGTTGTCTTTATATGTTTTCCTTTTAGTTTTTAGTTTATTTTTCCCTCTCTATGTTATAAGATAATGCTGCTGTTGGGCTTCATTTATGTCACAGCCAGCAAGTTTGCCTTGTTTGGCCTTCAGAAAAATAAATGGAAAAACTATTCAATCTGCTTAAAAACTCAGACTTTACTAAGAATCTTAATCCTAAATCGTCACCTTACTCTTGCCTGCCTACTGCAACCACTGACCTCTAACTGCACACTCATTTCTTCATGTTTGAGGCTGCAGACTGGATTATTTCAGTCCTGCCGCCCAACAGACCGCTGACAGACTTGGTTAAAGGCATACTATGCAACATTTTTCAGTTAATTAATGTGTTCCATAACGTTTTGGATGATTAAATGAGTCATTTCAGGTCGAACAAAGGTTCTCTCTGCCGCCCTGGTGGTCTGTAGGGGAAATACCGTACTTGCAATTGCAGGAGACCTCGGCCCGCATCCACAGGCTCAGAAGTCTCGTGCATCGCGAGAGTCGGTCTTGCTTTACGGCAAAAACTGCTACACGCCCCCAGCCCCAGTAGACATGGTGATTCGTTGCGTTCGCCTGTCTGCTAAGCTCAAAACAACCGCGCCTGGCTTGATGGAGAAACCAGGAGAACAGCTGAGCATATTTACGACAGTGCACTTTTACTTTCGCCCTCTGGGGGGAGCCTCGCTGGAAAATCAACACCGTTTGCATAGTATACCTTTAAGGTTTCTCTACTGTCCCATTTTCACTAACACCCTATGAACTTCAGCTCTTTAGCTGTGATTTTTTTTTATGTTTTTTTTTCCCCTGCTATCAACAGAACCCTTGTTTCCCTCTCTACATGCAATTATTGCTGTAAGGAAAGAAAATAATCAATTGTTTCACATTAACGATCCCCATGATCAAGTTAGCCCCACACAGCTGCTAGAAGAAAAAAAAAACTTGCTCTGTTTGAATTTGGTCAATATAAGCCTGATAATTTGATGTTGGAACAGATTTCAAGCGAAAAGATAAAACCCTCCATCCTGATATGTCACACTCTAACATCAGATTTGGAGCTTTGTTTATTATCTCTATGTGGTGAATTCGTTTTCCACTTTATGCGGAAGCCATGGCTGTTTTTCACTGAGAAATGTGTGACCAGCTGGTTTGAGAAGCTTGACTAACTTGTTGTTCTGTATCCTACAGTTGGACCAGCTGGTGGTCGATGCTGCCAAAGAGAAGAGGGACATGGAGCAGAAGCACTCCACCATCCAACAAAAGGTTCATCCTCATGAACACTCCTGCATCATCACATTTTGGGTTTGATCAGACAGGATGTCAGATGGCCTCTAAGCCCACATGTTATAAACACAAGCAGCATTTAGCACATAAGCTACTGTGCCTTGCAGATATATTTATTTCTTTTTAACCTCCGTGCATTTTTCCACATTGAAGCCTTACATCTCAGTGAATTTTAATGAATTTCTTTCTAGACTAACACCCACAGGAAGATGACACATAGGTTCCTAAATTTGCAGCAATACATCCCCGAAAAGCATTGAATAATTTTATGTAAACTCTTTCTATGAATATAGTTTTTCAAAATGTGTGTTATACTTTTAGATTTGGATTTGAGATAATTACTGTGATTGAAACCATTTCTTTGCAGCTCTGGCTGTATGTATTGTCCTGCTGAAACCCAAACCTTTGCCTCGGTATTTATTCCAAGTTATTCCTTCCAGAAATGCCCCGTATTTAGCTCTTTCCATCAACTCTGACCAGTTTCCCTGTTTTTGCTGAAGAAAAATATCAGTCAGAAAGGAAATAGTGTTTGTAAAGTAGCGTGCAGTACAACACATTCCATGAATAACAAAACGTTTCCTTTCTTTGACATGGTTGCAAACATTTTTTCCTAACACACAGTAGAAATATTTAAATTGTGACATATACATGATGAGTACTTACCCCAGGCTCACACCGACTCCGGTCTTACCGTTGCGGTGCGGTGGGTGCGGCGCCGCAGTGATTCAAAGTCATTAAAAAGACGTAAACCTCTCTCACCGGCTGCTGAGCTGTCCGGCTGCCGTTACCGAGACACTCCGGCGCTGCGGAAAATTCCGCAAGAAAGCTATCCTTGCGGCGTGCCGGAGCCCTCCGCAACAAGCTCTCCCAAATATCCTTATTTGGGCCGTGTTATCGCGTGAAGTTACGTGAACTCAAGTGAACTTCTGTTAAATCTCCGGACCTGTTGCCGGAGCCGAAGAGCCGCACCGCACCGTAGTCAAAAGGGCGGTGTGAGAGGGGGTGTGCGGGAGTTGCGGTCTCCGTCGGCTCGGTAACCGCACCGGAGCCAGTGTGAGCAAGGTGTTATCCTGTTGAAAAATTACTCCCACCTGAGCTATGGGTCTTTGCAGCTCCTCCAGATTTACACTGCCCCACTGGTTGCTTCTCAAAACATTGCTCTCCTTATCAGTCCTGTTACTTATACCCCCATTTACACTACCCTTGAAAAACCGTGCCGAGACCGGTCCGAGCTCAGTTACTGAGATAACTTATCGTGTGTAAATGGAAAGCAAACTGAACTGAACCAAGATAGACACAACCAAACCGAGATAACTGCAGAGCAGTTCCAGAGGTGGGCTGGGCTCGGTTTTTCCCTGGCTCGGTTCTCTGATAACAAGAGCGCATGAGCAGAACGCGACATCTCCGTCTGGCTGCACATCCCGATTCACACTCCATTCCAGTAGTTGGCGGTAATGCCCCTCCGGAAGTTGCTTGCCAACCAACACAAAACAGAAGAAGAAGAACAACTATAAACAATCGAAATTTTCTCCACGCAACATTTTGATTTGCTTGATTCCCTCCTTCTTCGTCTTCTAGTGTTTTAGGGCGGTTGGCAAACAACTTTTGGTTCATTACCGCCACCAACTGCTTGATTTCCTCCTTCAATATTGGCAGTAATACCGCAGATCGTCATTAGGAGGCAAGGAGTTGAGGAACCGAGATAGCGTGATGTGTAAACGGTCATCAAAACCAAGCTCGACCTGGTTAACTGATCCAAACTCGGACCGGTCTCGGCATGGATCGGTTTTTCAAGGGTAGTTAAATGGGATATTAAGGTGGTCAGGGTGACGCCTTCGTTGGTACTTTTCAGGTTCAGATGATTGGTTGCACAGATAACTGTGAGGATTTTGTTTTATTTCCCAATCCGGCTCTCATCTTCTCCAGATCTTTAACCTCTGAACTGTCTGCTGTGTTCCCTCATCCACAATGATCCCTTTTGTTCTGTGACAAACCTCTGAGGGCTTCACAAAATGGTTGCTTTGATAATGGATGCCGATGGAATTAGATAACATCAGATAACTTATGAAAAGAATGGATAGCATAGAACTTAATTTAGAAATATTATACTTATACATAATGAGGCGTCTAAATTCCTATTTGCCCCTTTAAATATATACATAAAACATTGTGTCCTATTCATTGTGTCCTATTTATGTACTAATTTGTGTTCATTGTCACATAAAATGGAAAGAAAATATTTCGTGGATAACAAATGATAAAATGTGTTAGGAGTTCAAAGTGCTCTATTTTTATTATTATTAGCAGCATAAATGTAGAGAAAAGGCATGGCTGCCAGTTTCTTTTGAAATCCCCCATGAAGAACTCACAACACTTTCATAACAATTTTTAAAAAGATTAATTTACCCTATTCAGTACTTTGGATTCTAGTTCTGTTCATTTGACCTGCTAAAGATCTGTCCTTTTGAGATTTTTCAGCTCCATCAAACAAGCTGAACACGCTCCGAGAACTTAAAACCATCTAGTTAACAGTTAAAGACCAAAAACATTTATTTACAGTTGAACAAACATTGAAATGACTGAAATTTTAACGTAAATGATATAAAAAATGGTATAAATGTTTGTAAAGGATTCAGATATAAAAGAAAATGCTATGCTAAAGTATTAGCTGCCTCGTGTATGCGTCTGTTTGTCATTTGAGTGAATAGAGGTACTGTAGTAGTCCACTGTGAGGTGTCAGGTGAGCCCGTGGATGAGCTCAGCCACACACCCATGCATTATTGACAACGGACGGGAATCAAACGGTTTGGTTTCAGCTTTGAGATCTTCTGATTAGCGCTTGTTTATTTCACCCTTCAGTTTCTCTGCGTCTTGTTTTATTACTGATCTACGCATCTAAACTGTTGAAATTGATGATCTCCTTGAAGGTGATAAGTGAAGCAGGATGTCGCTGGTTATATTCCAGAGTGCGCCGGTAGATATTTACCTTTTAAATGTAACTGTGCATCACACATCATCAGTAAACACACACAGCAGGGATTAGTTATTTATCCAGCCGAATTTCTTTCTCTGTATTTCCCCCTCATGTGTATCTTTTTCATCCTTTCTCTCATCTAGTTCTTTCACTGTATCTGTGCCAACTTCTACTAAGCCTCAGGATCCAGTTCTCCACCGTTTAGTCCTTCCTCCGTTTAGTGTGATGCTATTATTGTTTCCATGCGCTCTCTATCTGGCTGCATCTACCTACTGACTTCTAACAGGTTGTCATCTCTTCTTTCCTTCTGCTTCTTTTCGTTCATCTGTTCTTTCTAATCTCCAGGCTGCTCTGCAGGTAAGTGATGTTTCTCTTCCCTATTCCCCCAACCTGCACCTCTGTGCTACATTTGCATGAATATACTGTAAAGTCAGCTGTTTGACCTCAGAAAGGTCAGAAATGAGTCAAGTAATGATGACAGGAACTCTGGGTGACTGACTGGTCACGATGTTTGGATGAAGTTAGCAAGCATGCTTCTTATATTGTGTTTTAAATGAGTTCACCCAGTATATGAACAATGTTTAAGACACTTCATACTTTGCTTCTCATAACTTCACATAGTTTACTCCTCATGCCAGTCATGTTATGCACATATCTCATTTAGCCCTTTACTATTTATTATATAGAATAAAGAAAAATGCTTTTCATATATAGGAAGCATTTTCTTTTATTTCACTCATGCAAAACATTTACTTTACTATTTTTATGCTCAGTAGAGCTAGAGTAGCATCCGTTGTTTTTAATTCTGGCCCTTAATGTACATCGTTATCTTGTCAAAACAGGGCTCAGCTGCTGAGTTACCTTAACTATTTCACACAACTTCAAATTAGATAACAAGTATTTCAAAAAGATAACCTTTAAACATCAATCTTTAAAATGTCTTTTTCAGGATTTTATGTTATAGACCAACTCAAAGCAACACATAATTGTGAAATTAATGCATACATTTTTTTTAAGCAAAATAAATCTGGAAAGTGTGGCGCTTAGACATAAATGATTTGCAAAAAAAACTCATTAATAAATAGTCCATCACTGTCGTTTAATTTGAATCCAAGAGCAAACAGCATCATGAAGATGAAAGAACAGAGCAGGCAGGGCTGGTTGAAAGTTTTGGAGAAATTTAAGCAGGGTTCAGTTATACAACAATATCCCACAGAGACACGATTATTTCATCTTCTGAAAATGGAAGCTCAACTATAAGCTACCAAAGACATGGTTATTGTTCTAAAATGAAAGCCAGTGAACAGGTAGGAGAAAATATATTAAAATGACGGCTATATGCCATGCGTTCTATAGATCTGGCATCTAGAGAAGAAATTAATTTGACAAAAGAAGGCCAACAGAGTCTTTTCTTAAGCTTCGTATTAGAAGGTATAAAATACTTGAGTCTTGAGGTTGAAGTTCATCTTTCAATTTAAAACGGACCCTAACTTACACAGAATCTGATCTATCCACTCTAGCTCTGTCTTTACTATTTTGCGAATATCCCCTAAAAAGTGTTGGCATGCGATGAAGCACTTCAGCCTTTTAGCACAAGATTTATAATTGCACTGGAAAAAAATCGAAATCTAGATGAGTAATTTTTTCTTAAAATAAGTGCATTTGTTCTTGAATTGAGGAGATAAGAGAGACATTTTCTCCAATGAAACAAGACAATTTACACTTAAAATAAGAAAACATAATTACATTGTCTTATTCCAAGTGCATATTATCTAATTATCTTATTTTAAGAGTAAAAATACTCATTCCATTGGCAAACTATCTCATTTAACTACTCAAATTAAGGATAAATACACTTAATTTAAGACATTTTTACTCATTTCAAGATCGTTTTTCCAGTGTGGATCCGCAGTATCAGCTGTTTCTACATAGTGTTTACTCAGTGAGTTTTATACAAAATGCTACATGCCACATTCGTTCTTCTTCAATAGCATGAACTACTTCCTATTGGGCCATCCAAATGCGAAATAAAATGTTTCTATTTCAACATATGTGAGAAGGGGTATGAATTTTTTTGTGAGGCTAAACCTTACAACCCTTCTTATTTCAGGAAGTGTTGGTTAAATCTCTCAAACTAATTCAGTGACCTTCTATTATTAACCAAGAGCATCTGCAGGCTTTCATTTGTGGTGTTATTTCCCCATAATGCAAAAAGGAAGTCCGCCAGACCCATAATGTCTATTTTTGTGCAACATAAAAATATCAGCTGTCATAAATGGGATGTTGAAATATTTGATCCTCTTTCAAAAGGGGAACCTCATAAATCTTCCTATTTTAAAGAAAAAAAATCCAAATCAGTGGTTTTAAACTGCTACTGCTAGTATTTTTCTGGATAAAAATTAACTGGAATGCTGAATGCACTACTATCAGAGTGAAGTCATTTATAAATGATTTATGCTCCGGATGCTCTGCTCAGTCTACCTTAGCACACACTGACACCCAGACACACACAGGTGACCTTAGCTGGGATCCTGTCTCTTCTGGAGCCGCAGGAGAGGCGGAGAGATGATGTTTTTAGATGTGATGATGAGCCACCAGGCTTCAGGTGACTTCAGTCACTTAGACGTCACACAGACTCTGAGACGATGACCGGTTGTCAGCCTCATTGGTTAACTTGAAGGCAGAAACAGAGGGGGAAAAAATGAAGATTTTCAGCCGTTTTCATTATGTGTGGTATCTGGTGAGTGCATACTAGGCATGGAACAGTCCCTCTACCAATCTCCACTCGGGAACTGTTTGTTCTTTGCTTCTTTACATCCAGTGATCTCTTATGTAGCCTGATTTTTGTTTTTAATCCGTAAAGGATTCCTGCGTTTAAGCTCTCAGAAATGCAACCTTTTTTTTTTTTTTTTTCTCTGTGTGGTTCTCCTGCTGTTTGTGTGAAATTTTAGGAGGCGACAGAGCTTGACTTTTTACCAGACCATCGCAGCTTTTGTGCCTGGAGGTCGAACTCTGTACGTAGTCGCTGTATTGACTTCCATCCGACGTTTGTTTTAATCCCCACCTGCCTCGGCTTTTTATCCCCTCATCAACACATGCTTGGAAGCTGCATTGCAGTGTTTGTGTAGATGTTTGCATCTGTTTGTTTCCTCATTTTATAGCCCAACACATGCATCAGTGTGATGTCCTAATTATACAGCATGCCACTTTTTTGCCCTACATTTCTTGTTGTCAGTTTGTACTACTGAGAGTTTTTGCAGCTGGTTTGACAACAGAGGGGTTTTTTGTTTAGTATTCCATGTCAGACTTCAGTCCATTGGATCTGGAATGGCTAAAAACAGATCCATGAAACCCCAGCTTTGAAATGCTTCAATAAGATCTCTATATTCTAGATCTTTGAATGTAGAATGACATATTTCACTAAAACCTGAGGGTAAAACCGTTTTAAACCCAAAAGTAAAAGCTAAGTTCTAGAATAGTCTTTAAACATTCTTTTTTAAAGAATTTGTGTGTATTTAAATGTTTTTACACCTGTTTGGCTGCAAGCTTTCCACTTAAATAAAAAAAAAAAATCCCTTCCTTCACTAATAAAACTGCCATGTTTCTAAAAGAAGCCATAATAGGCTGTGGTAATGTGTGCACACAGCTCTTTGTAAAGGTTAAAAAAAAGTTGTATAATTAAACATATAGAATTAGTTTTTATGCATTACTATAACGAATGTGTAAAATATGCCAGCAGCTCTTAAAGGAATGTACTAACTTGTTAAAGTGATAGCTGTGCCAGAAATGCTTCCATGAAAAATGACTTGTTTGGCCTCATGATCAGACCATCACATAACAGCACATAGCTGTGATTAAGGCAGAATAATAATCAGGGGTTTCAAAGTATTTTTCCTCAAAAAATCTAAGGACCTGTATATAAATACCAAGTAAAAAAAAAAAAAAAACGTACCATCATCACCCTGAACACACCATCTCTACTAACCCCTCAGTTCCACAGGTGGTGGAAGCGCAGCAATGCTGTGTCTACGCAGTTGATCACATCAACTCTAGTCGGTCAGAGATGCTCCATCTGGTCACCCATGGTGCATTAATTAAGCATCCCAGATGCTCCTGGTGCTCGTTGCTTCTCTAAAATACTTTATTGTTCTATTTTGCTGCTTGCTGCACCAAGTCCACACCAGCCTAAAGCAGAGCGGATTATTTAGGTAGAAAGCCGGTTAATGAACAGCTAACTGGATCTGGTTGAGTTTACAGGTTAAAGGCTACATGTCCAGACTGTGCATTTTCTGGACTTTTTTTCTCGAATAACAAATTCTGTTCAATCAGGTTATTAACAGCCATATTAAATATCTTTGTTGAATGAAAAATTAACTGAAATATCTTAAGTTAGCCATGATAAACCTAGAGATAAGGCGACTGTATAAAGAGCAGGCATGCAAGGTGCAGGTAAGGATTGGCCAAATTACCACTTTATTGGTTTACTGCTCTAGTTAAAGCCTACAAGAACACTACTATCACCGTACTAAGTAATGGTGCAATCTGGTAACAATTACAGTCCGACCGCACAGTCGTTCAATCCTGGTGGAATAGGGCTTCTGGCAGAAAGTATGGCGTTTAAGCACCGCTTCCACATCTAGTGGAACCCTGATGTAACAGAGCATGTCGGTGGCAGTATCATGTTATGGGATTTCTTTTCTTCTACAGTGACGAGTTAACTGGTCAGTTGATTGGCATATGGACTTAGATGCCTGGCAATACGGAAATAAAACCTGTTAAAGATTTACCCTCACAGAACAAACCATGCCAAACTTTTCACATTTTTGAAGCACAAAAACTATATGGACAACATGTATTATCGATTCATTTAACAAATTTTGCATTACTCTCTGTTGGTCTCTCACGTAAAATAGCAATAAAACAGACGATTTGGCTGCAATGTTACTAGATGTAAAGAAGCTATAAAAGCCTTTGCAAAGCACATTTTCTGTCAATAAATGTAACCTGGATTATATTAGCATGTCAATGCTGAGGAAGTAAACAGTAAGGTGTGACCATTGTCACTCCGGCTGTATCTCTGAGGCCAGTTCCAGTTAATAAAAACAATGATCTGCTTTGAAGCACTAACAGACTCCTGAGGTATTTGTTTGCTTTGTTTATGGCTGTGCAATGTTTTAGCTCTGGCCCAAGGTTTGAGTAGGTGGGCTGTTTTTAGTGCATTATTGTAATGTAGGTCCCTTTATTGTCCCACGGTGGGGAAATCCGTTCTCTGCATTTTGACCCATCCCCTTGGGGAGCAGTGGGCCACCATTGTATGGCGCCCGGGGAGCAATCATGGGTTAAGGATTTTGCTCAGGAGCCCAGATTTTAGGCTGTGGTGATCGAACCGGGTACTTGCAACCTTCGCAGAGCACAAGCGCACTGCTCTAATCCACTAGGCCAACACTTGAGTTTTTAATTGAGTTTGAGTTTTAAGAATGCATGAAAAATCTACTAGTAAAATGTTCACCAATATAGACATGTTAACATCTTCGGAAAGCTTAGATTCTCCACAATTCAATCGCCAAGTTCATTTTATGGACACAGCGAGCACCAAAGCACAATTAACACAGATATAGCAGCATGTCAAAATGTAAACAAACAACTACATACCTTTGAGGTCCACAGATTAAAGGTACTCCAGCATATTAGTAATAAACATATTCCATGATGAGAAAATCATCGATAACGTCCGGTTTTTGACATCAGAAAAATTAGCTGGTCATTGCTTATTCTCAGCATCTTGCTAATATTTTCTTCCTAATACTTATTTCCTTGATTGTTAGCCTGCGATGTTTGGTATGGTTCTTTACGTCGTCTTCTTACCTACAAGACAAAAGTGTCTGCACCTTTTTATGACATGATTTGAGCCAGATACAGTCGCTGAATTCGCACTTCCAGTCCCTTCCTGTCAGCCAGTGATGCGCGATATTATGCCTCATAGAGTCATGCTGTTATTGGTTAAGACCATGTGGTCTGTTGGGCTTTGTAGCCAATGAAACAAGGTTTCAAACAAGCCCACACATGGCAACTTTATAAAAGGCAGACCCTGTTTTCAGGCTTGCCTAATACTGAAAGATACAGGTGCTGGTCATAAAATTAGAATATCATGAAAAAGTAGATTGATTTCAGTAATTCCATTTAAAAAGTGAAACTTGTATATTATATTCATACATTACATAAAAACTCATATATTTCAGATGTTTATTTTGTTTAATTTTGATGATTACAAATGACAACAAATGAAAATCTCAAATTCATCATATCAGAAAATTAGAATATTGTGAAAAGGTTCAAAATTGATGGCCCCTGGTGCCACACTCTAATCAGCTAATTAACTCAAACCACCTGCAAAAGCCTTTAAATGGTCTTTCAGTCTAGTTCTATAGGCTACACAATCATGGGGAAGACTGCTGACTTGACAGTTGTCCAAAAGACGACCATCGACACCTTGCACAAGGAGGGCAAGACACAAAAGGTCATCGCTAAAGAGGCTGGCTGTTCACAGAGCTCAGTGTCCAAGCACATTAATAGAGAGGCGAAGGGAAGGAAAAGATGTGGTTGAAAAAAGTGTACAAGCAAGAGAGATAACCGCACCCTGGAGAGGATTGTGAAACAAAACCCATTCAAAAATGTGGGGGAGATTCACAAAGAGTGGACTGCAGCTGGAGTGAGTGCTTCAAGAACCACCACACACAGACGTATGAAAGACATGGGTTTCTGCTGTCGCATTCCTTGTGTCAAGCCACTCTTGAACCACAGACAGCGTCAGAAGCGTCTTGCCTGGGCTAAAGAGAAACAGGACTGGACTGCTGGTGAGTGGTCCAAAGTCATGTTCTCTGATGAAAGTAAATTTTGCATTTCCTTTGGAAATCAAGGTCCCAGAGTCTGGAGGAAAAGAAGAGAGGCACTTCATCCACGTTGCTTGAAGTCCAGTGTAAAGTTTCCACAGTCAGTGATGGTTTGGGGTGCCATGTCATCTGCTGGTGTTGGTCCATTGTGTTTTCTGAGGTCCAGGGTCAACGCAGCCACATACCAGGAAGTTTTAGAGCACTTCATGCTTCCTGCAGCTGACCAACTTTTTGGAGATGCAGATTTCATTTTCCAACAGGACTTGGCACCTGCACACAGTGCCAAAGCTACCAGTACCTGGTTGAAGGACCATGGTATCCCTGTTCTTAATTGGCCAGCAAACTCTCCTGACCTTAACCCCATAGAAAATCTATGGGGTATTGTGAAGAAGAAGATGCAATACACCAGACCCAACAATTCAGAAGAGCTAAAAGCCACTATTAGAGCAACCTGGGCTATCATAACACCTGAGCAGTGCCACAGACTGATCAACTCCATGCCACGCCGCATTGCTGCAGTAATACAGGCCAAAGGAGGCCCAACTAAATACTGAGTGCTGTACATGCTCATACTTTTCATGTTCATACTTTTCAGTTGGCCAACATTTCTATAAATCCTTTGTTTTTATTGGTCTTCAGTAATATTCTAATTTTCTGATATGATGAATTTGAGATTTTCATTTGTTGTCATTTGTAATCATCAAAATTAAACAAAATAAACATCTGAAATATATGAGTTTGTATGTAATGTATTAATATAATATACAAGTTTCACTTTTTAAATGGAATTACTGAAATCAATCTACTTTTTCATGATATTCTAATTTTATGACCAGCACCTGTACACCCACCTCCAATCTGAGTGGTGACAACGGTCCTATTTTTTTAAGTTTGGACGCTGATTTTATTTTATTACAATGCCTAAGGCTGAAAAAATTTAATAAAATACAGCTCAGAAAAGGCAATGGGGCTTATTTTAGCTTGAAAAGCATCAAAATCTTTAATTGATTTTTATGTTATTATAGATGTAAAAATTCTAAATTTTGTTATATACACTGATTCTGAAAAAAAAAGTTGAAAATACTTGCTTCATAAATGTTTTGTGGCCATCAAAATGCTTCAGTGTTATTCTATGGGCCAAATAGTAAACCAAAGCATAGTGAAAGCATTTGGCACAGAGATTTTTGGAGACGCTGGTGACACCAAAAGCTCAAAACCTCACAGCTCTGGAATTGTTGTTGCTAGAGGTCTGAAATTTTCTGCAATTGTGGTTGACATGATGTAGAACAAATGTAATACAGTGAGACCTGCCTTTTTTCAAGCATGTCTTTATTACTGCTGTTCAAAAAAGACGTAACATTTCGGAGTATAAAAACAAAAACAACTTTGAGTCATGTTTGAACTGATGCTGCTTAGTCTGTGTTCTACTCACCCAATTTTTTTATATATATTCAGAAGCTAGAGTGTGTTAGCTTTCAAATAATGTATTACACATGTAATGTAGCCTTACAGTTCCTTAGTTATTTGCTTTTCCATTTGGGTATGCAAAATAGGTGAGAATTTCCCAAAATGAGGTGGATGTTAAGAGGCTAATTAGAACATCTGGTGATACTTGGTGCATATGCAAAATGAGTCAAGGACAAAATGTGCATCTCAAATAAGCAAGCCTTTAGTTTGTCTTTGTTAAAATCCAGTAAAGAAAGGCATCTGCGAAGACACTTCCATTGCTTTTCTAATCAGAGTGGTTTGGTGGGAAGTGGTGGATGTTTCTGTAAGGAAAAGATATAAAGACAATACCCTGCTTGATACAGGAACAGGTGTGAAGACTTTGAGCTGTAATTGTTTATAGAGATACTGATGTTTGGTGTAAATTGACTCCTCATGGAAACACACACTCTCTCTCTCGAACACACACAGAAATGTGTGCACACTGCCTAGTGTCTTATGTCACAGGAAGCAGAGGAGGAGAGTGTGGCCATGCCTCAGGTAGTTAAAGCTGAGCCGTCTCATAACGACACCTGAGACTGAGTTACAGCTCAGATGCAGTCATTCAGAGACTTGGTGACAAACTAAAAGCAAATATGGAAATAAGATTAAATACTTAGTAGTTTATTAGAGACACGTCCTACTTTTTCTGGCCAGCAGGTCCTCTAATATAGGAGGTAGTTAATGATGTCATCCACATTTATTCATCCCAACCTGTTTCTCTTAACTTTGTTTTATGTTAGTTTAAAAGAAAACTGCCACAAAGCACATACTGTATGTTGAAGCTTCTGAAGACTGAGATTAGATGGAGCTTTTTTTATGTATTTGTTAAATAATTAATAATCAGACGTTACAGCATTTGAGCTGCTAATAACCAAACACTGTCTCTAAAGGAAAATTCTAGTTTCCAATCGTTGAGCAATGAATCTGTGTCGCTCAAGATTCTCCCCTGGTCATTCCTTTTTTTTTCTTTTTTTACAAAGGGAACGTATAAATCGAACCCCTGATAAAAATGTTAAGCATGTTAAGTGAAACATTTACTTATCTTTATTAGTTGGTTGATTAAAAAACATTTAATGTTATCTTGTGATTTACAGGATTTCTCAACTGATGACACCAAGCTGGAATACAATGTGGATGCAGACCATGGCATTGCAATGGAAGGTTATCTGTTCAAGAGGGCCAGTAATGCTTTTAAGACCTGGAACAGGTAAGAACACTGTTTAACTGGCAGCTTTATGAATGTAAGGTAAGTTTTATCAGATGTGTGACATTTTTCATGGTGAGTTACAGATACAAAACATTTTTATAGTCATATTTCATTAAGAAATGAGAAGGAAAGAAAACTGATCTCCAATAGTGTTTTATTGAAAAATGTAAATTGAAGTAGTGCTTTCAATTGGCTGAAAGGAAATGGATCCAATGGAAACTTAACTGACATGTTCCTACTAAGATATTCCTTCCTGTTTGATTCAGTGAGATATTGCAGCACTTTATAGTACAGATGGTATTAACCCATTTAGGCCGGGAAAGCATTACCGCATTTCTACCATTCAAGCCGTGGGTGCTGTTGCGTCATTCTACCATTGACGCCGGGAGAGCATATAAGTCAAGCAAGAAGAAAGAAGTTTTTTTCAAGCAAACATGGAGGAGTTTGACAGAGAAGAGTTGTCGGAAGGCAGTGATTTTGAGGAGTGTGTCGGCTTTGATGACGGTATAGATGAAATGATGACTTTGAACGCGCTGAACCAATCGAACTACCACCGCAATGCACGGAGTGTTTTCAACCGCACACCTGGAGTGAAAGTTGATTTGCCTGCAGACGCCACACCGCTGCAGGCATTTGAGCATATTTTTAATGAAGAACTTTGGATGCATCTAGTTACCGAGACGAATAGGTACAGTGACCAAACAAACCAAACTCCAACAAGAGCAAAGATGGCAAAGTGGTCACCCGTGACTGTGACGGAGATGAAGACATTTATTGGGCTGTGTATGTAAACCTCTCTTCAGGACGCAGTTCCCCCAAAATATGTCCCGGGACAGATTTGTGGCCATCTGGAGGTAGGTTGTATGCAATTTATAACACAGACATATGCATTATTATGCATAATAATACTGTTAATAAGTAATCATCAGATAGTTATTTATGTAATGTTTGTTCTTTATTTTGAAAACGTTTTATATTGCACATTCTCAATGAAGACATGATCACATATGGAAAAAATAAAAGGTTGAATTTTTTTTTTTTTTGATTACTGCTTTTCACATTTTTTTTTTGGAAGAATTTCAAAGATAAAATATATTTTGAGTTCTATCTGCTACAGAAGCTGAGATATCAATAATTAAGGCGTTGACACAGTTGCTGAATTTACAGAAAAACTTCAGGTTTTAGGGGTATTTTTTAAAATCGGCCATAGGTTTTTAAGGTGTTTTTTCCAGGCGTTTTAGGCCTAAATGGGTTAATGATAAAAAAAAAAACACACACAAGAATAGGGCTGGGTATTGTTCAAAAATGTTCGGTTCCGGTACCAATACCGATACCTTCACTTCGATACCGGTTCCTGAACGATACTTTTTTCGATACCAGTTTTATAATATCAATTCGAGAAAAAAAAAAGAAAACTACACAACATAAAAAAGTACAAATCTTGAGTTTTATTTTAAGCTCTGATTTTTCCATTTACATTTTTCCTAAGTGTCTAATATTCACTGTTACATTGTGAGGACCTTTTTACTTAGCAGTTTTCCTTTAGAAAAATTACCATGTCTGACAAACAAGCCCGTTGAATGGGATCCTACTGACAGCGCACCACTGGTATGTGGGGGTCTGAGCGGCTCCGACAGAAATATTGGAAGGCAGGATGAACTGACTGCATTGATTAAGTTTTCAGGTGGATTTTCCCACTTAAAAACATAATAAAACTACTTTATTCCCACTGATCACAGCAAATATAGCTGCAAGGCAAATAAAGGATAGAGTAGCTCCGCCCAACGCGCTTCAGACACACTTTTGCACCGCGCAGCCAGAGCAGCAAAGCTTCTTCAGCCACGCGTCAGAACTTACTGGTACAAGCAGCAAAAAGGAAGCAGCAGACGTGATTTTGCTGCTTCTGCTGCGTCCAGTTTGAACGCAGCATGATTCACTCCGCTCTGGCTTTGCTCTGCCCACGGGCTGCTGAGAGGAGGATGGTCGCGCCGGCTGCGGTCCGCTCTTCTTGCAGTCAAACACCGAGCAACTTTCTGCTCTTAAATTATTTCTGTGCACGATGTATTGCATTACGCACTATTGGCATCAGTCTTAATAAAGTGAAGCCACACTTTTGACCTGGGGGGGCATTTTAAAGGGCTTCCGCGACGCTCACAACCAGTTCACAACAGATACACATGAACCCTGGCTGTAGGCGTGACCACCTGTGTATTTTTCCTGGATGACGCAATCACGTTAAGTGTTACAGCCAATCACCGAAACTTGGTACCGAAAGACGAGGCATGTTTCGATACTCTAGAACCGAAGCATTTCGGTCGGTACCATAAAAGAACCGAAGTTCGGTACCCAGCCCTACACAAGAACAGTCTGACTTCAATCTACATGAGCCTCTTTGAAGACAAAAGTTAAAGTCTTCAACTTTAAATTATTATAAATATTGTTGAAAGTGTTGCTTCAAAGGGTTCCTCAAACATCTGGAGTGAAGAAACTCAATTATTATCTGCTCCATTAATCCATAATTATGTCTTTAAAGGATTTGTTTTCTAATATTTAAAATAATCTGGCATCTACACTATATTGCCAAAAGTATTTGCTCACCTGCCTTGACTCACATATGAGCTTAAGTGACATCCCGTTCCTAATCCATAGGGTTCAATATGACGTCGGTCCACCCTTTGCAGCTAGAACAGCTTCAACTCTTCTGGGAAGGCTGTCCACAAGGTTTAGGAGTGTGTTTATGGGAATTTTGGACCATTCTTCCAGAAGCGCATTTGTGAGGTCGCACACTGATGTTGGACGAGAAGGCCTGGCTCTCAGTCTCCGCTCTAATTCATCCCAAAGGTGTTCTATCGGGTTGAGGTCAGGACTCTGTGCAGGCCAGTCAAGTTCATCCACACCAGACTCTGTCATCCATGTCTTTATGGACCTTGCTTTGTGCACTGGTGCACAGTCATGTTGGAAGAGGAAGGGGCCAGCTCCAAACTGTTCCCACAAAGTTGGGAGCATGGAATTGTCCAAAATGTCTTGGTATGCTGAAGCATTCAGAGTTCCTTTCACTGGAACTAAGGGGCCAAGCCCAGCTCCTGAAAAACAACCCCACACCATAATCCCCCCTCCACCAAACTTTACACTTGGCACAATGCAGTCAGACAAGTACCGTTCTCCTGGCAACCGCCAAACCCAGACCCGTCCATCAGATTGCCAGATGGAGAAGCGCGATTCGTCACTCCAGAGAACGCGTCTCCACTGCTCTAGAGTCCAGTGGCGGCGTGCTTTACACCACCGCATCCGACGCTTTGCATTGCACTTGGTGATGTATGGCTTGGATGCAGCTGCTCGACCATGGAAACCCATTCCATGAAGCTCTCTGCGCACTGTTCTTGAGCTAATCTGAAGGCCACATGAAGTTTGGAGGTCTGTAGTGATTGACTCTGCAGAAAGTTGGCGACCTCTTCGCACTATGCGCGTCAGCATCCGCTGACCCCGCTCCGTCAGTTTACGTGGCCTACCACTTCGTGGCTGAGTTGCTGTCGTTCCCAAACACTTCCATTTTCTTATAATACAGCTGACAGTTGACTGTGGAATATTTAGGAGCGAGGAAATTTCACGACTGGATTTGTTGCACAGGTGGCATCCTATCACAGTTCCACGCTGGAATTCACTGAGCTCCTGAGAGCGACCCATTCTTTCACAAATGTTTGTAAAAACAGTCTGCATGCCTAGGTGCTTGAATTTATACACCTGTGGCCATGGAAGTGATTGGAACACCTGATTCCAATAATTTGGATGGGTGAGCAAATACTTTTGGCAATATAGTGTATTTGAGTAAACTGCATTTGTCCTTTCGGCATTACAATTTTCTTGTTTTTCTTGCCATTAAAGAAAAAAAGATCTAACAATAAATTCCTTAGCAGTCATTCTTTCCTCTTATAAAAGCATTTTAGACAGATTTTTTAGTTGCACAAAGTCCAGACAAAAACAAACATTTAACTCCTAAAGTTTCAGAAGTCTAAGCAAAATTATGTTGAACTCTAAATGCACTTTTGTGCCACTTGATGGATAAAGAAATGTATTTATTCTTCAGTTTTGTTTATCGAAATGCTGATGTGAACATTTTAATCAGCACTTCTGATAATTGTTTGTGACTGATTTTCTTCCTTAACATGTGATTTGCTTTCAGGCGCTGGTTCTCCATCCAAAACAATCAGCTAGTTTACCAGAAGAAATTTAAGGTATGTCAGCTGACTGTCCCTTTACTAACCACAGAAATATGCTTCTGTTTTGGTTCCAACACAAATATCCTCCTGGGTATTTTTAGCTCACCGCTTTGAGGCAAATATTTGAAAGGGCTGTATTATTTGGAGTAAAGCATTGCTGTATATTAGTGGTTAAATCTGTGATGCTCTAAATGACTACTGGTTCAGTAGAAGATCCGTAACTGTGGTGGTTTACTTGACCCCACTAACATTTCTATGGTTCTGGATTTTTATTGCAATTTGAAAATACAAACAAAAAAGATAAACAAATTGATCTCATTAACTTTTTTAATGACATTTTGAGGAGGAAGAAGCTGTAGACCGTTTAAAGAACCACCATTTTTTTAAAGGAGTCGTTTACCTGGAGCTGGAAGGCCTCACTGGAAAAAATCGAAATATAGATGAGTAATTTTTTCTTAAAATAAGTGCATTTGTTCTTGGATTGAAGACGTAAAAGAGACATTTTGCCAATGAAACAAGACGATTTACACTTAAAATAAGAAAACACAACTGCATTGTCTTATTTCATGTGCATATTATCTAATTATCTTATTTTAAGACTAAAAATACTAATTCCATTGGCATATCATCTCATTTACTTTCTCAAATTAAGGATAAATACACTTAATTTAAGACATTTTTACTTATTTCTAGATCGTTTTTCCAGCCAAATCAGACCAGGATGAAAACCTTTGCAGTTCACATAGCATACAGTTATTTTTAAAAAGCTTAGATGTAGTAACTCATGTTATAAAGCTTTGTCTGCAAAGGTTTGTTAAAGTCCCTCTAGCTCTGTGTTTGAATTCAATGACTTGTGGGCTTTGTTTTTTGAGAGAGTGAAGAGATGTCAAGATTTCTTTAAAAAGCAATATTAGAAAGCTACAACTGTCTTCACATTGCAGAAACCCTGTGAAAGATGTTAAAACAAACATTCTTTTTTAAAAGGGATTTCAATATTCTTTCAGAGTACATCTGCTGTTAAACACTCACTAGATTTGATTTTAGAAAGCTGAGCTATAAACTGGGCTCTTCTATGCATAATCAGCAGGGACTCTAAAAACAGACGTCTTAATATGAGTCTATGATATCACTAAAAATTAAAATCCAGCATACATTATTACTATGATGTTTGTTTTTACCTTACTGTGGTTTTAAAATGGCTTTAAATCACTTGGAGGTTATTTTTTCTGGTCTGCCTCCTAGATTCTAAAACTTAAAAGAATTTGCAACACGCATTAAAATCAACTTAAGCTGCATCTTTCAAAAGTTTATGTATCTTTATTCTTCATCCTTCACAGTTTAATTCATCTGTATAATGGGATTCACTCAGTGCATTAATGCACTGATATAAATGAAGGTTCTAGTTATGTTCTAAATGAAAACAAGACTGTATATACATCCCTCTCTAACAGCTGCTGTTGCAGACTGCAGTGAACCTGAGTTTTGTGGTTTCCATTGTGGAGTCCAAATTCAGGCTGTTTACATAGATGATATCTGTTGATGTTGAGCAGATCTTCCTCCTTCTACAGATAAAGAGTCCACAGTGTGATTTGAAAAGGTCAATTAGACCAGTATAGATTGCTCTTAGATTAAAGCCAAGTCCTGTATCTCCTGTTGGAAACATTTAACATGTTAGTTGATCTGTGTTGTTGAATATCTGTTGGATCAAGATGGGAAATAACGTTTGTGTAGCAAAAATCAAAAGCTTTGGTTTTAAACAATAAGACATAACTGAAGATTCTGGGATGTAGAGTGACTCCACACCTTTAGCCAACCCTAACTTCCTATTTTAGTTTCTCAGAGCCAATCAGAGGAGAGCTCTTTTTATTACTTTATGCAGCCGGTCAGAACATGGGATGGTTTCAGCTGTCAGAAATATACATAAAATCACCTTAATCATATTTATTTATAATTAAAACCTGTAAAGCTTTTTCTAAGCCAAATCCTTTCAAAATCAGAATCGGCTGATGCTGCTGCTTTTATTGTGGAACATAAAGGGTGAAAATAAGCTAAAATGACTGTTCTAAATTTGTATAAAAAAAAGAAAGAAATGCCCAAGACTCTACATGTGTTTATAAACCACATAAAGTTCCCAAATGATTTACTTTAATGAAGAAATCTTTGCACTATGCTAGGCTAAGCTTATTAACTGTGATATTCAACATCTCTGTTTACACCACATATTATTTGAAGTTTTCATTATCCAAGAGGACCCTTTTTTTAACATTTTAATCAGTAAGGTATGGAGAAAGCCAGCTGCTCAGTGGGCAGTGGGTAGCACTGCTGCCTCGCAGCAAGGTCTGTTCGATTTTTGGCCCGGGGTCTTTCTGCATGGAGTTTGCATGTTCTCCCTGTGCATGTGTGGGTTCTCTCCGGGTACTCGGGCTTCCTGCCACAGCCCAAAAACATGACTGTTGGGTTCATTGGCTTCTCTAAATTCTCCTGAGGTGTGAGTGTGTGTGAATGGTTGTTTATCCTGTTAGATTCTGTGTTGCCCTGCGATGGACTGGTGACCTGTCCAGGGTGGACCCCGCCTCACCCCCATAGACAACTGGAGATAGGCACCAGCACCCCTCGCGACCCTAGAAAGGATCAAGCGTGACAGAAAATGGATGGTATGGATAAAGCCTATCAGCCATGGTCTCGCAGGTTCCAAAAATCCAGAGACAGGACCGAGTAAAAATTCTGTTGATACTAAGACAAGACCAAGAACCCAAAAAGGGTTCTGAAATACTGCAGCGTTAGCAGTTTGGTTTACTTTCCAAAGCAGAAACCTCCTGTCATCGTCAGATGTTTTTTACATAAACAGCCTGGTTTTGTAGCCCGCACTGGAAGAACAGACAAAGAACGGCCAAATAAAAGCATTGTTCTTGTAAATGAAGTTCCTGATTAAGTGTTTTATGGTAACACAGTCCAGTTTACCTCTTCAAATCCTTTTTGAACCATTCTGTATCTTATTGTGTTTTGGTCAATCAATAAGCTTCTTCTGACCCCCGACAGGACAACCCAACAGTAGTGGTAGAAGACCTGAGGCTATGCACAGTCAAACACTGCGAGGACATCGAGCGGCGCTTCTGTTTTGAAGTAGTTTCTCCCACAAAGTAAGTTTGAATCACATGAAACGTTTTTAACAGTCTAAGAAACACTCAAATATTTCAGAAATAAATATGGAAATAGGAGCCTGGTGCACAGAGGAGCAGCGTTATCTATCATTTAATTCACACAAGCTTGGTCTGTGATAGCCGACAGCTGCTGTTTGATGCTTTTGTTCCCCTGTGAAGGAGCTGTATGATGCAGGCCGACTCAGAGAAGCTGCGGCAGGCTTGGATCAAAGCCGTCCAGAACAGCATCGCCACCGCCTTCCGCGACAAGGGAGATAACGGAGAGGTACAAAACAAAACCCACGGACTCAGACTCTTTTGAAGTCTAGAACACATCGGCAGAAAGATTCAGATATTAAATCTTTTAAACGGTACAATAAAAAAGATCTAATTTTAGATCTGTTTGAAGAAAAACGTGGATTTCTGTTGTGGTTTTCAACTGTGTTTATTTCCCAAGTCTGGAGTTTAATTAGCTGTTTTCCTCATCGGTTCTCATGCCAGAAGCTGGACAGGAAGTCTTCCACATCAACAGGGAGTCTGGACTCCGGAGGGGAGCCCAAGGAGAGGTCACTGAAAGGCGAGAGCGCCCTGCAGAAGGTCCTGGCCATTCCTGGCAACGCCTGCTGCTGTGACTGCGGCCAGCCGGACCCACGCTGGGCCAGCATCAACCTGGGCATCACTCTCTGCATCCAGTGCTCCGGCATCCACAGGTAGAAACGCATCAAACTGCTTCCCTTCAGGACAGATACTGACAGAGGAAATATGATGATCCAACAAGTTTTCATACGAGATGAAAAAAAATCCCTGAAAACTAATAAACTAAGAGAGGACTTGGTTTATTTTCTTTATCTTTCAAAGGTTTATATAATCACAGTTCATTTGCCGTTCACTCTGGCTCTGAAACCTCACAATAATTAAAAAAGCTTTGTTTTTCTAAGTGTGGAAAAATCTTTCCTGTTATGGGGGCTTTGTGAAAATTAAACATAAACCCATGTAGAGTGTGTGTCTTTAACTCATTTCCAGAGTAATAATAAAAGCTTAATAAAACAGGGAAGAGGCTTGTTCCCACACTCCACTTTAAAAAGCACCAATCTAACAGCATCTCTGTGTTTTTCACACAGTGAAACCATCCTGTGTGAATTGAATAAATAGAAGAATGTCTTTTTAAAATCGTAGAGCAGAGGGTTTTAATGAGTCCTTTTTGCTTTCCTTCCACTGCAGCTTCACATTTGCTGATCAGAATTCTTTCACTCCAAGTCTGAATTGCTTTTCAGAATATCTGCAAGACGAAAGAATCCATCATTGGATTTTCGTTTACCTGCTATTATTTCATTACACCAGTATTTAGATTTATCTGTAGTTATGCTCTTATTTTAGCCCATTTAAATTAAAGGAGAAGTTCGGTTTTTAACACTTTTAGCCCATTTTCTGTAGTGTCCAGGATGAAATTGAATGATCGACACCAAAATTTTGACAATTGGTCCTGTCTCTGCTTTTTGGCTCATTTAGAATCCCCCCCTGGCTGCTTTAGAATGGCTTGCATAGAGCATGTCCGATAATGTCCTTAAAACAACCTTAAACGTTCTTTTTTTAAAATATGCTACTCACCGGGTCGTCAGCGCTGTTCAATGACGTTCCAAAAAAAGTTTCGTAAAGAAAAAACGTTCCTGTAGTGTTTTATTTAGCATTTTGTAAATCCCATTGAGTTCTGTTGGAATAGTCAATATTCCCCTGCCACCGGAAACAGAAATGGGGCCTGTTTACACAGTTGTAGTCTTTTCGCTTCACTCTGTGTACTCCAACGTCGAGAATCAAGAATCCACCTTTCGTATTCCATTTTCAGAGTTTTTTAAAGTGTTTAACAGAGACGTTAGCACCTCGACGTCGGAGTACACAGAGTGAAGCGAAAAGACTACAATATTGGGGAATATTGACTATTCCAACAGAACTCAATGGGATTTACAAAATGCTAAATAAAACACTACAGGAACGTTTTTTCTTCACGAAACTTTTTTTGGAACGTCATTGAACAGCGCTGACGACCCGGTGAGTAGCATATTTTAAAAAAAGAACGTTTAAGGTTGTTTTAAGGACATTATCGGACATGCACTATGAAAGCCATTCTAAAGCAGCCAGGGGGGGATTCTAAATGAGCCAAAAAGCAGAGACAGGAGCAATTGTCAAAATTTTGGTGTCGATCATTCGATTTCATCCTGGACACTACAGAAAATGGGCTAAAAGTGTTAAAAACCGAACTTCTCCTTTAAGAATTATGCAAGATCTAGACTGTTTAAATATGTCTACCTGTGTAAAGAATGAAATGAGCACATATGGATTAAACTAAATGATTCCTGTTTATGTTAGTATTTACTCTGCCCTGTAAGCGTAGTTTTCCTAATAAAGTGATTTTCTTAATATGACATCCTTTAATTGATGCTGCATTGCCTTTAATCCTTAGAGCAAGGACTGCAACTAATGATCATTTTCTAATTTATTAATCTGTCAACTATTTGTTTCATTAGTCAGTTAATAATCGGATAGCAAAAGGTGCCTTAGAGAAGATTTTTTTACACAATTAAACCGAAACTAAAACTTTTTCACTGGAGTTCTGCATAGAGCTTATTGACACACACATAAGATTTTAATCCTAAATGCAAAATGTATATATTTTTTGTATAATTTCTGCTCTTAGTGGGTTGCTCTGTCAATTAGTTGACAATCATTTCAATAATCGATTAATCCTGATTAATTCTTGTTCCCCCGGCAGGAGTCTGGGGGTTCATTTCTCCAAGGTTCGGTCTTTGACTTTGGATTCATGGGAGCCGGAACTGCTTAAGGTTTGTTGGTTTAATAGTTCAACTCAGGTCGTAACCCTTCTGTGAAACAGATTTCTATTCAGATTTATGTTAAGTGTCTCCATTCTGAAAATTTCACAGTTGATGTGTGAGCTGGGAAACAAAGCGATCAATCAGATATATGAAGCCAGACGAGGAGAGCTAGGAGCCAGGAAACCCCAACCAGGAGACCCCAGGTATAAAACTCTTCTATACATGTTAAGATTTCTTATTCCATCTAAAAACTTCTACAGCCCAAATTTTGAATGTGTTTAATTGGGATACTATTTAGTAGATTAACACAGAGTGATGAATAATTGTGAGAAAAAGGAAAGGACATTGATCTAAAACTGTGTGCTGGTAATCTGACCCTGAAAAATAAGGACTGATCTTATCTGTCTAATCTAGATTCCTTTGATCTGTTTTATTTAGAAAAACAGGCCAAACCTTAAGTCTCTATGTGTACATATATATCTGTGTGGTCTTAACTACATGTGAATGCATCATTTAACTATAAATACATTAAAGTTTGCCTGCATGAACCCAACATATGTGTTTGATTTGCCCACAGACACGAGGTGGAGGCTTACATCAAAGCCAAATATGTGGATCGGCGCTACGTCCGCCGGCCGTCAGACGAAGAGCTTAGAAACAAAGTGGTTTCTCTGAGCAAACAGGAGAAGAGGCTGAGCAGCAGCTCCGACCATCTGCCTCCAAAACCGCCCCCCTCTACACCCAAACTCCGCCCAGGCTCTCAGGTCTCAGGACAGTCGGGTCAGTGCTTAATAGAAATTAAAACACCATGTAGTTTTTAACAGACGCTGCCACCAGTTTGGGTAAAATCATATTATGTTTAAAAACTATAAAATAAAAACCTATTCTCCGGTTTTTGTTGTTGGAAGTAGGGATACAACAATCCACAGTTCTTCAATTTTAATCTGATTCCAATACTTGAGTTTTGATATCTGCAGGTCCAGTTTTTTTTTTAATGACAGAGCTCCATTTACTTTGATGTTGATATTAGGGATGGAACGGTTTATGAAAACCATCCGAACCGTTCGGTTCGACTGTCTCGGTTCGGTTCGCGTGTGTTGCGTTCGGTTCATGCGCTGCTCCTTTTTTTTCATAGGCGAAGCGTTTACACTCCAGAGCAGAAGGTGGCGGTACTGCGACTGCAAGCATTGTGCAACACGTTTTGTTTATGCTAACAGAAACATGACCAACATGTCATGCTAACCCCGAAATCCCACATACTCCGTCAGCGCTCCGCCCCGCTGCGCTCCAGACCGTCTGCACAAAGCAAAGCCTACAGCCTCCACTGTGGCTCCCGTCCGCTCCGCTCAGAGTTCCTTGGAGATCGTAGAGGGCATGCGCGAGATGATTAAATTCAAAGCAGCAAAACATGCGGAAATGATCCAGGGTTTCCGTGGATCATAAAAAATAATTACAATTCACTATTTTTTTTTTTTTTTTCATTAATTTTATTCATTTTTATGGGATTTCGGTGTAACAATCAACATATACCAAACCAAACCAAACCGAAAACCGTGACCACGAAACCGTGAACCAAACCGAACCGTGGATTTTGTGAACCGTTCCACCCCTAGTTGATATCATTAATGTTGATTTTTTTTTTTGTATCCAGCTGTCATAAACTCCTCTCTACAAGCAACTATGATATCTATGAATGTAAACATGTTTATCCGTGCAGGCAGCTTGAGATTAGGAAGAGGAAGTCGATAAAACAGTGAATGATGTTAACAGGATAAATTTCATCATGAAAATTCTTGTAAAGGTTCAAACTGACTGCTGACATAAACAGATGCCCATAAAAAAGAAAAGAGAGAGATTTTTAACCTACCGGTACATTCATTTTCTTATAGAAATAGACTGAGCAGATTGGCCTCTTTGTATTGGGCCCATTTTCACCAATACCAGATCTAGAATGTTCTTTAATATATCTGGACTGATACAGATATTGATATCAGTGCCTCTCCTGTTAGAAAATGTTACTCTGGGTTCAGATGTGAGAGGATTCTTTTTTTACTTCAGACTCGCCAACAGAAACACAACATGTCGACTAGCAGCTTCGTGGTGTTTGTAGTCCACCCATCGGCATAATGTGTGTTCTCTGTGAGCAGCGTATGTCTGCAGCCTCTTTGCTTCGCATCGCTTTTTGCTCTCTGTCTCTTCCAGTGTTAGCCTGTAGTCTAACCATCTGTTCCCCTACCTTGCTCTCTTCTTTCTCTCCTCTCATTCCTTCTACTCTCAAACCCTCCATTCCTTTCCTGGCTGTTCTGTGCTTCTGGATTAAACCTCTTTATATTTCTGACCTCAAAACTCTCCCCACTCTACCTCGCCACTTTAACTCCGCCTCCCATCCGCTCTTGCGTAGCTGCTGCCTGCGGCGTAGAGACCCGCCGTGACTCTCTCTTCTGTCCCGATGAGCTTGACTCGCTCTTCTCCTACTTTGACACCTCCTCCAAGCTCAGGAGCAGTAAGTAATAAAAGCTGAGTATTTAGCTTGCTTCCCATCCACCCTTCCTCTGCTCTTCCTTTCAGTTAAACAGTTTTGGGATTAGCTGCCATTGTTGCACTCTTTCTCTTCCTTCCTCATCCAGAGTCATGCTGTCCTGTGAGCTTTGCAGATCATGACATGTTTGTGTCTGTTAAGGAGGAGGGCAATATTTCTCTCACTAAAACTGGACCTGTATCTGCATCATCGTTTGGTTTTTCTTTTTCTTTAATTTTTAGGGACCGGGATCTTAAGGTGATGGAGGGAGTCTATCATCCAGGGCTTTGTTCTGTGTTGACCATCAGTTTGTTGTTGCCAAGAAAAATATTAGGTGCAACTTCCTGATCCGACTGTAGATATTTCCATAACCCCCCCCCAAAAGATGCTGCATCTTCAGTAAAGTACATGAAAATATGCAGTATTAGGAGAAAGTAACATCTGCTGTCTGATATTAATCATCATTAATTAAAAAAACTCAAGCTGGAAGCTGTACCTCTTATTTTTTTGTCTCTTTGGCAACAACAGCTTCCTGTTGCTCCACACATGGTGAATCAGACTGTTTGTTTTCCAGTGAAGAGCGCCGACAGCGGCATTCAGAACAGCGCTGATGGGAGCAGGGAGATGCTAGTTCCCGTTGCATCCAGTAACAGCCTGGCAGACGCAGGTGAGAGACAGCGCACCACTTTGGGTTGTTTACATTCTGAATAAATTCAAACATCTGTTTTTGCACTGCAAAAATGATCTCAAAATGAGTCAAAATGTCTTAAATTAAGGGTATTTACCCTTAATTTGAGCAGGTAAATAAGATGATTTGCTAGTGGAATTAGTATTTTTACTCTTAAAATAAGGTATCTAGTTAAAATGCACTTGAAATAAGAATGCAATTGTTTTTTCTTATTTTAAGTGTAAATTGTCTTGTTCCATTGGCAAAGTGTCTCACTTAAATCCTTAATTTAAAAAAATGCACTTATTTTAAGAAGAAATTACCTATTTGGATTTCATTTTTTTGCAGTGTTGAAAGTTAAATAAAAATGTGTTAAAAAGGTTTTATATGCATTCGCTATTTATCAAAGAACTGGTCAAACATGGCAGAAATCTTTTTGCATTTTCCAGAAGCTGCAGAGCCTCCACCCATGCCCGCCACTCTCCCGGCAGCAGCGGCGGCGGCGGCATCCTGTAAGGAGGTGGTCTTCTACGAGCCAAAGGAGTACAGCCCGGGGCTGCAGCTCTACTGGGCCTCATTCGCCCGCAGCCTGCCGGACATGGCTGAGGCTCTGGCCCACGGCGCCGAGGTCAACTGGGTCAACACCGAGGAGGACAAGAGGACGCCGCTGATCATGGCGGTGCACGGGGTCAGTGGGACAAGAAGACATCCTTCCAAATTTTCCCAGTTGTGATTCATTTCTTAAAAATCCAGCACATTCTGGCTCAACAATGTTCTAAAAATCTGTCTGTTTGGTCAGATTCACATGTAAGTTAAGCTTGGAGAAATACTTTTTCTTATATCTCCTCCAGGGCTCGCTGGTCACCTGCGAGTTCCTGCTCCAAAATGCAGCCAATGTGAACCAGCTGGACGCTCAGGGCCGAGGACCGCTGCACCACGCCACCATGCTGGGGCACACAGGGTCTGTTCACAAACGCTCCTTCGCTTCTCATGCCTGAAAACATCAGATTGATCTAACGTGTCTCTATTACAGCCAAGTGTGTTTGTTCTTGAAAAGAGGAGCCAATCAGAACGCTGCAGATATCGATGAGAAGACGCCCCTCAGCATCGCAGTGGAGGCAGCAAACGCAGACATCGTCACCTTGTGAGTTTAATTCCTTTAAATGAACCTCGTTACTTCGATGTTCTGTTATACTATAAAACATTTACATGCTTTTCTTTAATGGACACTGATAGGATAGATCTGTATAGAATAGATTGTATAGATTAGAGTAGTAATTTGCATGTTTCCAAGCAATACAAGGCCTTGTCTATATAAAGCCTCAAACTCGCTGCGGATCCAGACATTTGAATTGAGAAAGCTTCCTGGAGGGGAACCAACTGCTCAAAGACTCATATTGGACCAAGAAAACAAAAAATAAATCTGTCTGGAGCCGCAAAAATGTAAAAGTCTTATATAAGGCTGGTATGGCAGCACGGGCTCCAAGGGTATTAGACCACTATAAAAAAGGGACTACGTGAGCTTAAATATATAATAAGCATCCATGATTAAATGTTTATCCTGGAGCAAATGTCACGTAGTAGCATGAGGTGATGAGGGAGCAGTGAACGCTCTCACCGCGTGGAATTCACCCCGCGCCGCTTCACCATGATATTTTTATTTTGAGGATTTGGGGGGAAAAAATTCACGTCCCTGCATCAGAGCGCTACCTGTTTAATCTGTGTCCGTTTTTTTCATGCTTGACACAAAACTAGCAGCAGTAGGGGACTTTTGGAGATGTAATCCACTTCTTAAATCTATCTTTGCTCCTTATTTTTTCAGAACTTCTGCAATCGCATTCTCTCACTCACAACTTTGTGATCTGCTGCATATTTAGTCTTCCCTGGGAATGCCTTTCCAAATGACAATTTTTATTATTTAACAAATTCTCGTGCCAAAGCAAAAAATGCCGGCAATCCTCCCGCATTGATAATGAAAGCAAATGATTTGGTCCATTCTTTGAATCCTCTGTTCTCATCAGGTATCTTCCTTTTTTTCCCTTTGGGCTCCATGGCCCAAGACACACCCGCTGCTTTCTTTGCCTGGTACTGCAGCACGCTGAGACATGTGTTAAAGGCTTTGACCACTGATCGCTATGGCTATGATGCACATTTTCGTTGAAATAAATGTTTACATATATTGTTTAAATTGATTTATTATACAAATGTTTACTGCAAAAAAAAAAAAAAAAAAAAAATTTCAAAACTTTTTGAAAAAGCTCCAGGGAGCCGCAAGGGGGGAGCTAAAGAGCTGCATGCGGCTCTGGAGCCACGGGTTGCCGACCCCTGGTCTAATTAGTGTAATAAAAAGGTTGGAATAGTCTTCCAAAGCACCACATTGTAAATATATTGGAACGGAAAAGACAAAGCATTAATATGTTGTTGAACCTTCCATTAGTTAAATATTAAAGGATATAGTGGAGGATGTTCTTTTTCTGGGTGGATCATCTAAATAAGCGGTAGGGATGTAAGTCACATCCATCATGGCGATTCGATTCAGTATTGATTTCCTGACCCAACGATTCTATTATTTTGGATACTCAAGAATACACCGGAATTTAATTCGATTAATGTTTTTTTGTTTGTTTTTTGTTTTTTTACTTACACCTTACATGCTAGACAATGTTTCAAATTTAAAATAAATCAATGAAAGCTGTAATAACATTATGCATTTTATTTGAGAAACAACAGAAAATAACAGAAGTAGAGAAGTAGCACTCTACTTATTCCTATTAAAACCTAATTTACTGAAAAATAATAATACCCCTGCGTTATAGATTCTGAAAGGCTTTGCATCAGAAAATACTGCACAAAATCAGTAGCCTGACGTAGTCCGACTCAATTCTAGTCAGAATATGAGTCTGATACTGCTCCATAGAGCTGTGATTATGGGGCGTGTTTTGAACGAACCAGGAAAAAAAATGCCTCTGCACTCAATTGGATAGACCTACAACCAATAAGAGCAACGGAGTGCGTGACGTATGTTAAGCGAGGCATAGTTGTTGTCAACAAAAATCAAAGCGTGCAGTTGCACGCCTATAATAAGAAGATGAGCCTTGATCGCGTTTCTCTGTTCCTCTTTTAAAATTAATTTGCTGTCGATATCTTCTAGAACAGACCTAATAGCAGAATCTACTCACCTAAGCTCTCCAGCGGCAGCCATTATTGTTGTCACCCAAGCGCGCTTTGGTCACGTGGTTGATTACGTTACTGTTGATCATCTGTCCATCATCGTATAAAGCCCGCCCTGACAATTTGATTGGATCGCCAGAGAGTGGGCTATAATACTCGTGCTACTATGGAGCAGAACCAGACCGAACTTCCCGACCTCAAACTTTGTGGGCGGGACTAAGTTCGGAATGGCACCCATGCTACAAAATCAGTGCAATGAGTGCAATTCAATACCTCGGCTCCAGACGTCCCGCCCCCTCCACAGACGCTCCGCTGCTCCTCTCCCAAATTGTAGCTGACCGCAGACAGGAGGCCGGCTTGTTTTGTTTTTATGACCAAAATGGCGGAAAACAACTCGTGAACTTTGACCCGCTAGAAGAGCGAGGTGCGCGAGAACGCTGGGACCCTTTTCCCACCTGGATCTCCGCCCTTTTTGGACCTCATGTCCCTCCGTCGTCGGACTAAACTCGCCCCCACTTCCTCACCGCCTCGGCCGTATCTAGACCCACAGCGTATAGCACCACCACAGCACGGGAGGGAGAACTACGTCCAGGAGCAAATGGATAAAAATAGATCGGAGGAAAAAAAGAAAACATGAGTCGATACTCTTGCGGACGTATCGATGCATCGGATCGTCGGCTGTTGGATCGATGCATCGATACAAAACGATTATTATTTACACCCGTAATAAGCGGCCCTCCTAATTGTCAATCATTCTGGTGATATATATACGTAAGGCCGTCCTACGTGCTCATCCCCATTTTCTCTTACCTGTGGTGAGTCTGACATAGTGGAAAAATGCAAATCTTCTTTTGCAAAGTAAGCTTGTTTGAGCGATGCAAACAGCACCTTTTAAATAGAGCGTGCACGAGGAGAAATGGGCTTGTGCACGGTTTTAATAGGCGTTTCCTGTCGGGAGGGGGTACAGGGTTTTTCATATGTATTTTCTTTTGAAGTGAAGAGGGCGAGTCTTTCCAAAGATTTTGGAAAATCGTCCGGTATACCTTTAATGTTTGTTTTAGGATTCTGTCGGTTTGTGACCTCTGACTGTATTTTTTTTTCCTCATCAGGTTGCGGTTGGCCAAGATGAACGAAGAGATGCGGGAGGCGGAGGGGCCCTACAACCCATCAGGTCAATATAACTCCAACAGCCCCACTGAGATGCAGTACAGGAAGTGCATGCAGGAGTTCATTAGCCTGCAGCTCCATGAATCTGATTAGCGGTGTTAAAGCCGAGGCTTCAGGAAGAAAACAGCCAGACAGAGATACCAGAGAGTTAGCTGAGCCTCCTGCTCTACATTTATCATCAGGTAGACGGAGACGGTGACAGCAGAAAGCCATCAAAGCTGAACTCTGGAAACCCAGTGACCCTTCCTCTATGTGACTGTTATCATTTAAAATAGCACAACACACAAACAAAATGTCACTTTTTTATTCTCTGTTGTCTTAAGATGCAGCCGTTCCATGAGTTTAAGAAGTGCTTCTATAACTTGGGAGCTTTTATTTTTAAAACGAAGCCAAGCATCTGCCTCCGACTGGTAGTGACACTGACTTCATTATAAAACTTGGCAATAATCTAGACTTTAGAGCCCAAACTTGCATGGCGTGTGTCTGTAAACTATAAACATCCATTCTTAGAGATGATCCACATTCCAGTCGTCGTTTTATGCAACTGCTGTACCTTCTGTCTTGTGACTGTCTGGTTTTATTTTAAGGTCTTAATTACTTGTTTACTTGTTTTTATGGTCAAATTACATGATGCCGTCTTGCTGTTTTTACATGCCTGAATACAAAGAAATCTATTTTAGAACAACTTTGTTTTATAAAGTACCTTTAGGAAGCATGTTAAAGCTATTTTCACTGAATATGTTGGGAAAAGACCATGAATATAGATTGTGAATAACAGAGTGTAGAGAGTGACTGTAGAGTGTGGGTATTCATACCCTTTTTTTTTTTTTTTATGTTGTTGTTGCTTATAGGAAATCATAAATTGTAGGAAAAAAAGCCCTTCGGCCAGAATGTTAGTGGACTGCTGATCCGTCGCAGCTCATTTAGGGATGATGAACCGATAGCAATAGGCAAATAAGACATGAATACAGATCTAACTGTAAATGTTTTCTAAATCACTCCCTACGTATAGCTTCTCTTCATTACAGTAAAGTGGGAGCTTTAAAACTTTAACTTAGATCAGAGTTTTCAGACAGGCTGCAGAAGGAGGCGATCCTGCAGCTCCTTCTGCTGATTGAGATGTAGCCCAGTTTCATCTCATATCTTTTCTTCATGCTGCATAAAAACACCAGAGGGATCCTGAAGCACTTTCAATAAGAGGGGAAGCAGCGCCCCCTGCTGTTCAACATGTGATGTTTATCATGAAAGATGTAGGTGGAGCGTTTACTGTATCTGATCAGGATTTCTTTAGGAAACAAACATTTTGCTGCATGTGGTGACCACTAGAGGGCGACAAAAGCATTTTTTGTCTTTTTTTTTTTTTACATTTAGACCTTATTTGTAAAAGAAAATATTCATTCAGTGCCTTAAAAAGTATTTATTCCTCTAATAGTTCACATTTCGGTACGTTATGGATGCAAAGCTACATTTGTTTATTGGGATTTCTATGTGACAAACCAACATAGAGCACAATTATGAAGCAGAAGGAAAAGGAGGACTGTAGATGTTAAAAAACAAACTAGGGGGGGTTCAGTTGTATTCTTTAGCTTGAAGACTTAGGGTTTATTTCTGCAAGCTTTGTGTATGTAATACATGAAGTTCCTGCCCATTGGACAGATTGCATTTAGCACATCAGTGTCGCCACAAAAGGATTTAGGCTCCAACTTTGACCTCACAGTTCAAACACATAAATAAACTTTAATTTAACTATTTTATTTAAGTCTGGGGGAACATTGTCACACTTTTAGCTAACAGGTTTTGTAAAGTCTTTATTTCCATTCATTCATCTTCCTATTAACCATCTGCAGCTTCTCCTTTCTTGCTGATACATGCATCATGATGCTTTCATCTCCTTGCTCAATCTGGGATGTAGTTTACAGCTTCATCTACAGCCTTAGATTTCCTGCAGTGTTTTACATGTAGGACACAAAGGTTCTCTATAGTCTCTATAGCCATGGCTCACTGACACAGAGCTACATCGCACACTTATTAGTTGAATTCTGAATTGATTCATTTCTGTAATAAAATTGAATTACATATGTCGATGTGTTGGATTTTCATGCAAAATCCCAACAAAATATGCTGAAGTTAGTAGTTCTGACAATCTAAGGGTGTGAATACTTTAGCAAGGCACTGAACTTTCATGTTAAAGTTTAACTTTGCTTATAAATGTGTGACTTGGGTAAAAGGTAGGAGCATTGAGTGTTTAGAACGAGCATGTTGGATGTCAGAAGATGCAGGTTTATTCATTGATTCTACCACCTTGTTGCAGAGCTCAGCTCCTCTCTGTCTGTTTTAATGAGTTGGCATAAAAAGCAGAAGAGCGGTTCTTAATCTCAGGGTTTCTATTGAAACTCAATTTCTGCAATAATTGTTATAAAACCAAACGTTTCAGAATGTCATGTTGTGATTGTCAGACTGAGAACCGCTCTCCTGACATGAGGGCTCTCCTTACTTATCTTGCTCTCTTTTTTTTTTTGTATTCTGCTTTTTCATTTCTCACCCTCCACCCCAGTCTGTGCCTTCCTTCTGTTTTCTTTTTTTCTTTGGGGTACCGAGGCCAACACAACTGTATTTTTGTATATAAACTCCTGCACTTTAATCACAATACAGTTGTTGAGGAAAATGAAATGTTTGTTGGCTTGATTATTTCTCCTGAGTTGATTTGCTCTTCCTTAGCCCAGCCTTGCTGGCTCTCCTCTCAAACGCTCTCGGTTCTTCTTTTACTCCTCTCTGTGGTTCTGTTTCATTTTCCTGAGCCGGGGCGACACTCTTAACAGGTAGGGGCAACTTTTTCTCTCTCTGCTCTTGTTGATGCCGCTGAAACCTTCCTCCTATGAGATTTTTGACTCTGATCTGAGGTACTGAGGAGTCTGTGTCTTACAGTCTGGACATTCTAGTCCCGTGTGTCTAGAAATATTTGTACTTTCAGACTTGATTCTCTTTTCAAATGAGTAGAAGTTGTGTTTATACTTAGATTTGTTTCCCCCAGCTGTCCTTCATCCAATCATCCATTCTTTAGTCTGTCCATCTTTTCCTCTCTGCCATTAAATTTAGCTTAAATTCTAGTTTACTTAAAACCCAAAATGGGTTTGGTGATGTTACAAATTACTCTGGTTAAAGAAAAATCACTTTATTTAGCTTCCCTGCAGCAAAATTAGAATTTAGAGCCCTACTTATGATTAACCCTTTATACGGTAAATTACCAATTTTGATCACTTGCATACCCCTTACAAATGGAGTCCCCCCCGTCCCTCAGTGAGTTCTAGAAGCATAAGATCTATATCCAGCCATTTAGCAAAGATCCTGCTCATGGCTGTACATCTTATTTTGGCATTTGACCAATTAGATGAGCTCCTTGAATGATATATTACCTACTTTAAATTAAGTTGGAAAAAAAAGTTAAAAGAAATGTAAGCAAAAAGGTAAAAAGCTAATTGAAAAGTTAATTAGCCTAAATAATCAATTATTTTAAGGTTTATACACTAAAAAATTTAAGTGCCAGTATCAGCATTAAAGCTTCTAAGGTTATGTTGTACCAAAAAAAATGTTTTTTTTTTTACTCTGTTTTTCATAAATTTCTATTAGAAGCACTTTTGTTATTTTTCTTAATATATTAGGGCAAGTTGGCGTTTCTTTTTATTACACTGACATTAATTTTTGACATCAAAATATCCATATTTTTTTAATGTTCCAAAGGTAAAAAGGTTACATTATTGGCTTGAGATTTTGATTTTCAAAGTATTTCACTGAGTGCCCTATAAAGTGTTAAGTGGATCAATCAATCATTAACATCATTGTTAATGAATTAAGTAATTGATTAATCCTTAAGTAGAGTAGGAAGTAACTCAGATCTGTATATATTTATATTCATTTTGCTTTTAAGACGAACAACTTTCTGCTTTAACCAGAGCTTCTCAGATTGTACTTTTAACTGGTTAAAATTTTAAAGAAGGAAAAATCCTTTGCAATAAGTTACTTCATTGGTAAAGAAAAAAAAAGATTAACATTTCAATCGATTACTAATCAAATAGCAAACTTAACAGTTTCCTTGACATTATTATTTATTATTTTTTCATTTTAAAGCTACAGTGTGTAATAATTACAGGGATATACAGTCAGAAATGTAATATATTATACATAACTATGTTATTTATCATCATCTACGAGCTCAGCCTCTTAACCTTAATATTTGCGTTGCCTTAGAATTCGTTATTTATAATTACATAGGAGCGGGTCTGGCAGCCATGGAGGCAGACATCTTTGCGCTACGGCAGCGCAGAGCCAACAAACTAGCGATTGCGAGACCGCCAAAACGTCACAACGATGTAGAAAAAATAACGGGTATATTTATTATCTTAAGTCTACATGAAATCTATACCCTACACAGACTAATGAAATACTATCTGTAAAATTATCTATGTAAACAAACCTCATCACTTGAGAAGGTAGGTGATGCGGACGTCGTGGAAGACATTTTGTCCCGTAACGCTCGCCGTACTGTTGGGGGGGAGAAGCGGTGGGGGGAGATGTTCATGTTGCTGCAGTCTGACCGCTAGATGTCGCTAAAAGTTACACACTGTAGTTTTAAATGCAAAATGTTAATAATAATATATATATATATATATATATTTTTTTTTTTTTTTTTTTTTTTATATATATATATTTATTCAATCTTGGTATAATTACTGCTCTAACTGGTTTGCTCTGTCAGCTAAAGGCATGTTTTAGAGTCTATAATCTGGTTTATTAGTTGACGATTATCTCAATAATCTATTAATTTTATTGTTTTAGCCATAGATGCAGCCCTACCACTAAGCTATAAGTTGTGATTCTGAGAGACTGAAGAATTTCTGTAATGAAAATCAATCTTTAGTTGATTGTAGAAGACGGATGGAAGGAAACAGAGTCAGTATGAAGATTAGAAAAAAGATTATCTTTCTGTTCTACTGTGTTGATGATTTTTTTGCTTTTCTTTACAGGGGATGAAACCTACCAGGACATCTTCCAGGATTTCACCCACATGGCCTCGAACGACCCGGACAAGCTCAACCGCTACCAGCAGTACGACCCTCAGAGACCCTGATGCTGCAGAAGCGCCGCTGCAGCAGAGGTCAGGCTTTCAGCACTAGAGAAACCTCCGCTTTCCTCACAGGATCATTCAGACAGGTCCTTCAGTTTGACCCTCTGCAGTCGGCCAATGGTACAGTGTTAAAAAGGATCTTTGTGTGCGAATGTGGAGCAGGCGTCGCTCTGTGACTAAGTTGAACTCCTCCCGTCCTGATGCGTGAAAAGGCTGCATGAGAGAGGTTCTGAATGACTGCTAAAAAAAGAAAAGCCCTGTTTGTGCCGTGGAACATCAGCACGTTTATCCTGCACCCATTTTTACTGGATTTGCACCAGTGTCCTGAAAGCAACCTTTTAAATACGCGATTTTAAAGCAGCGATTGAATCGGGATTGTAAACGATGAGTTTTAATGTGCCTGTAGACTGTGAGGTCAGAAGGGTCGGGGGAAACGTTTCACCTTTAAACTCGTGAGCCTAAATGTTGTGGATAGTTAAGAAAACATCAGGGTTTTAATTATTTTTTTTTTACTTGATCTTTTTTCTGTTTTTGTTCCTGTGTGCAACTCAGCCAAACTCTGTTTATTGAAGCATCTTTTGTTGGAAACGCTAAAACATCACTGATAAAGCATTAAGAAAACAGGCCAGACAGCAATGAAAGGGTGAAAAAAAAAACTTCCCGTCTTCCACATTTCTGCAAAAAAAAAAGTGCTTTCATGTCTTTATTTCTGCATTTATTATTTTCATTAGAGGAGGAACTTAAGCGGGTTTAAATCATTTCGAATTTCATAAAAGTAATTTTGATTGTGAAGCCATGTTTCCAGAAATCAATTCAATTCAATTCAATTCAGTTTATTTATATAGCGCCAAATTCACAACACATGTCATCTCAAGGCACTTTACAGTTCAACCAGATCAAATTGATACAAAGTTTTCTATCTAAGGAAAACCAGTTGATTGCATTGACTCATTGACTCAAATACAATCCCCCACACTAAGCATGCTTGTAGCGACAGTGGAGAGGAAAAACTCCCTTTTAACAGGAAGAAACCTCCAGCAGAACCAGGCTCAGTGTGAGCGGCCATCTGCCGAGGCCGACTGGGGTTCAAGGAGACAGAAGCAGAGATACAAAAAGCAGCTGTAAAAGGCGGCCCCGTCCAGGAAACACACAGCCAGGCAGACGAGCTCCAAGGCAGCTCCCATGCCAGAGGACGAAGAAAGCACATCCACTCAGTCACGGTCAGAGAAACAGGACCACACTGGAAAACAGGCCGATCTCCAACATCTATAAACAAGGGTGTTGATAGAAGCAGCACAGCTGATGAAATCAGTTCAAACTAAGAACGATTTTGTCCTGTAAATTCTGATTTCTCTTTCTATTTGAAGTTTTCTGTGTAGATTTTCTGTCTATTGCAACATGGGATACACTTCTTGTACATTTTGTACAGATTATTTCAAATTCTCAAGACTGAAGTATGAAGTTAGAGGTACTTGAATGATTTAAATAAGCTTTTATACATGCTGATCTTTGTATCCGTTGATAACCATAGCAATTTTTTATATGCTTGTATACATGTGCTGTATAATACACCTGTAATAATATCTGCAAGGTCTTAATTACACAGAAAGAATTCATTTCTGGTCGTCTCGTCTGTTTTTGCTTCGATTGTGCAGGAATGCATGGAAAATACAGCTTTAGTTTCTCCAACAGCATCTTATCTGGGATTCATTAATGCAACCAAACTGCTGAACTTTGCTGCTTTTATGGGTAAAATGCAGCCCAGCGTTCTTTAACCCTGGAGATTAACTGTTCTATAAAGCTTTCTAAAATCATATTTGGACTTATTTAGAGTGCAGCTGTGATTCCTTCAATCATCCTGCAGAAAAAGGAGTTTTGGTCAAAAAAGAAAAAAAAATCTGGCTTTCAAAGAAGTTTAGCTGCAGTTTGTTTTAAAGGTACACTATGCAACCGGTGTTGATTTTCCAGTGAGGCTCCCTCCAGAGGGCGAAAGTAAAAGTGCACTGTCGTAAATATGCTCAGCTGTTCTCCTGGTTTCTCCGTCAAGCCAGGCGCGGTTGTTTTGAGCTTAGCAGCGAATGACTAACGCTGCGTTCACACTGGATGTAGCTGGCGCGACAGAAGCAGCGAGTTTACATGCAAAGGTCCCGCGGCGCGTTTTGAGCTGCAGGCGCAGCACATCTGAGCGGCTGCAGCAGCGCGTCGGGTGCGTTTAACGCAGGGAGAGAGACACAGCGCTGATGATCACTGCTCTTAAACAGTTTATTGACGCCTAAATTAACTTAAAATGCAGAAATCTGCCGGCAGAATATGCAGTTTGGATTATTTAGATGAAAAACACCTACCAGCTGCCGCGGTGAACCGCTGCTGAAGAAGGGATCCATACTGTCGGCGCCCCGCTGGTATGTGGGGGTCTGAGCGGCTCCGACAGAAAAAATATTGAAGGCAGGATAATAATCTGAATGAACTGACTGCACTGATTACGTTTTCAGGTGTATTTTCTCACTTAAACACATATTAAAACTACTTTATTCCCACTGATCACAGTAAATATAGCTGCAAGGCAGAGAAAGGATAGTGAAGCTCCGCCCAACGCGCCTCAGACACACTTTTGCAGCCAGAGCAGCAAAGCTGCTTCAGCCGCGCGTCAGTACTAACTGGTACAAGCAGCAAAAATGAAGCAGCAGACGCGATTTTGCTGCTTTTGCTGCGTGAACGTAGCATAACTGCACAAAGATTGCCACTGTGCTAGCAACGAGAATGCTTTTAACTGGGGGGTGTAGCAGTTCTCGCCGTAAAGCAAGACTGACTCTCACTAGACTTCTGAGCCTGTGGGTGCGGGTCGGTGCTCCTGCAGTTGCAAGTGCAGTATTTCCCCCACAGACCACCAGGGCGGCCGAGAATACCTTTGTTCAACCTGAAATGACTCATTTAGTCATCCATAACGTTATGGAACACATTAATTAACTGAAAAATGTTGCATAGTGTCCCTTTAACTTCCCCTCAGAAATCAGAGTTCAGTTATTCCATACCTCTTCTGCTGCCAATGCCAAGAAACCGAACCTATTGTCCATTTGATTGTAAGAATTAGTTTTGTTTTTTTCATTTTCTCTTTTAAAAATCAGATTTCATAAAAAAAAAGGCAGACTTTTTTTTACAGTAAGCTGCATTTTCCAATTTGCCCAGCAGAGGGAGAACTTCTGTCCCTCTCTTCAGCCTTCTCTCTAGCTTTCTGCTTCTAAAGTTGTTTTTTATTATTATCATTTATATTTTTGCCCATCAGTATATAGTAATGAATTAAGTTTGCAGTTATATTTAGAGATAACATAAACAACATTTTTATACAGCTTAAAGTTTTTAAAACACATGTTTATGCTAAACTCATCATAAGGAATTGTCCGAATAACATGTTTTTATGTATTCGTGCTACGATACAGTAGAATAAGGATGTTTTTTAAAACCACATGCTTTGTTTTTGCTCTTTTGTTTTTTTTTAACTGTGGTTATTCAGTTTTTAAATAATCCCTCATTTGTTTGATTGTTTCTGTTGTTAACGGTTCCTGCAGGCCTCTCATTAACCTCTCAATAACTGAAACGAGCAGTTTATTAATGTTGCATCTGTGCCAGCTGACATGAAACCCTACCCTGTGCCCATTAATGTGTGGCACAGCCTCGTTCCTGCTTTAATAATCCCAGGGTGTTTATTTCTGCAGCTATTTAAATGAGAGGCCTGCAGGGCCCACCACAAACTGCGCCGAGTCGGCCAACAAATGTGTTTAGTCTGCTGCTAAGCTAATGTTCCTCACAACAAATGCTTTACTTCACCGTAAACACAAAGTGTAGCTCGGCTGCTGCTCCTTCTTAGCTATCCTAATGATCAGAGGTGAAATGAAGAGGATTAGGGCCACTGAAAAAAAAAAAGTTAACTGATTTTAAATTTTATTTCAGTTTAACATGAGGGAACAAGTCAGAATTCTGATTTTTTTCTCAGAATTCTGACAGCTAACAAACATATTAGCATCAAGCCGTAGCCATGTCTGTTTTAGAGACTAGCTCTCTTGTTTTAATGAACTTCTGCTCCTCCATTAATGAGGGGACTCCTCGGGCACGTAAAAAGTTGCCTAATTCCCTTATTTTCCACCAATGTGTTCCTGTTCCTCTCAAACAACTCACATCTTTGTCAGTGAAGCTAAGTGCTTCACATCTCTTCCTTCATGGTGCCCATCTACAGTAAGATCCAAACTTCTGTGATTAAAGTCAGAATTCTGACTTTTTTTCCCCATGTTAAACTAAAATAAAATTTAAAAATCAGTTAACTTTTTTTTTCTTTTCAGTGGCCCTAATTCCGTAGAGGTGGCTGCAGGGCACCAGGCTGCTCTTATGCTCCGGCTGCTGAGCGTCTCCAGCTTCAGTCCGGACAATGCATTCCCACCTGGAAGTCGTCCTGGAAATATGTGAAATATGTTGTGTTAACTGCATTTCAGCATGGCTGAGAGCTTGGAAAGATTATCTGATTTTTGGTTAAATGCACGACATGAGGGACTGCAGCAAAGATGTTAGGAAAGTTTTCCTGTTGCCTGTTTTCCATTAACAGTTTAAAATCCAGCCAGCCTTTCTCCCCTTACCTGGTCCAGCCTGTCCCATCACATCCTGCTCGAAGCTCCTCGCTTCGTTCGCTCTTGCGCCTCTTCCAGGAAGTCTGCGGTCCGCTCGCCTGTGGAGAAACAAAGGAGACGTTTCCCCCCATAAAAACACCACGTGAACTAACGCTCAGAGGGCCAAGCTCCCATTAATCCTGCTGCGACTGCCAAGTGCCCAAACTGTGGAGCGCAGTCATGTTAACAAGTCCAGCGATGACTGAGGGCTTATTTTCTTTAAACAAAGGAAGCGTGCAGGTGCTGTGGGATTAGATCATTTCAACAACTTTACATCCAAAACCCAGGAATGTTTTATATGTAGCAGCTTGTTTATGTTGCCTCTCATCAACATACTGACATATTAATGCTGTTCAGTGTGAATGAACGATGATTAGTGAGCGCTTTCTTCACTTTTCTCCTCAGCTGACTCAGATTTTATATTAGCTGAACTAAAGTACAAATATCTGTAGATGTGGTTTTTAAGATATCAACTGGTTTGACTTTGTCCTAAAATAAGGTTAACATGTGTAAAAGTAATCATATCTCATTGATACACGCTGGAAAAAAAAAATCAAAATCTAGATGAGTCATTTTTTTCTTAAAATAAGTGCATTTCTACAAATTTACACTTAAAATAAGAAAACACAATTGCATTGTCTTATTTCAAGTGCATATTTTTTTGCATATTATCTTATTTTAAGAGTAAAAACACTAATTCCATTGTCAAACTATTTAATTTACTTATTCAAATTAAGGGTAAATACACTTAAGATATTTTTTCCTTATTTGTAGAATGTTTTTCCAGTGCACTGCAAAACATTAAAATCCAAATAAGTCAGTTTTTGTTAAAATAAGCACCTTTTTTCTTGAATTGAGGAGAAAAGTAAGACACTTTGCCATTGGAACAAGAGAATTTACATTTCAAATAATGAAAAACAATTGCATTGTATTATTTCAAGCACATATTATCTAATTATCTTATTTTATAAAAAATACTAATTCCATTGGCAAACTATGTACCTACTGAAATTAAGTGTAAATATGCTTCATTTATATTTCCATTGTATTGACTAAGAGCCTTTC